CGAGACATACTGAGCTGCGATGTGGGCATTTGCTTGTTAGTCCAACCATCGTAAGCGCAAACTCCAAGACCCAAAAGCTCAGGACGATGGACGGGTAGAGAACTGGGGTGGACGCGCCCTTAATGATGGTTATTAGGAATTGTGTTGCTACTTGAATAGTTTCTGTCGCTTTTTTCCATTTAAACTGAAACAAAACAAAAAAATATTTCAGCATTAATTTGGCAAAACTTCTTGGATTGTGACTCGCTACAAAAAACCTGTTAGAATTGGAAACTATGGGTCATAAACCTGCTTCTTTTCCTTTTGCTTCTCGGCATCTTCGCAATCGCATTATGTAAAAAAATTTTCCGTTGCGAAGACTTTTTGCAAAGAGATGTACCCGTACAGAAAATGCATCCTGCTAAAAGAACTGTCTACAAGGTATTACTGTATTACAGCTGCTTCGTGCATTGGTGAGAGCCAGGGCTCAGCACAGCTGGCACCTGATCAAGCTGGATATCGTTTTTAGGGCGGAAAGCAAAGGGGATATCGTTTCTACAGGGGCCGAGGCGGAGAACTGCCGCAGAAATGCCGCCGGCATGCCACCGGCATGCCATTGGCAAGCTGTCCATCAACAAACAAAGGCGTTGTTTTCAGCCAAAACGCAATAGTATGACACCAAATTTGGTGTGTGCATGCGCGTTGGTGGACCGGAACTACGGGCCAAAAATTTATGGAAACTTATGTGAATGAAAGCTGTGCCAAACTTTTTTCTGAATTAGCTGGCACCGTGCTAGCTGGGTGCCAGCTGAGCTGGCACTGACACTTTGCTCACATAAGTTTTCATACTTTTTTACATAATATGAATCTGCACTGTAAAAGATTACATGAGGAGAAGAAACAGTTTCATAATGTTCTCTTTTCAGCGTTTTATAGCAATTTGAAAACCACTCGGTTCTTTCATGAAATCAGAAATGCACGAAAACACTACTACATTTTTTACATAATATAAAAATGATGACGGGTTTTCAAAACAGGTCAAAAGGGGCTTCGTACGAAATTTCCGATATCAAACGGGACTTCGTTTTGAAATTTCCCTGGTGCCAGCTCGTGCCGAGCCCTAGTGAGAGCATCATCTTTTTTAAGAAGATAAAGAAAACTTGCAAGAAAGTCACCAAAAAGCTAGAAAGTCTTGTGCGGCACTCGAAAAACTTGATAAGTAAGCCAAAAAATACGAAAAAGCTTGCTTTCGCTGTCGTCGATTCTCTCTAGCAAAGCAGTAAGAATGTGGAAAAACTTGCAAGAAATGAAGCCGCAAATGTGTAAACAATGCTACACCTTAATTTATGACGAAGTGTAAACCATGACGTGAGATGATATAACGTGCTATTTCAGCATAAACTATTAAAAAGTGTTAGATTTTAGGAGAAACAAAAGCACAGAATTGCTGTTTTTTAGAGAAGACCATTGTGAGGGTTTCGTTGCGTTGGGACAAGAGGGCCGGGTGAAGAAAGAGAAAAGAGGGATGAATGGAAGGGAGCTAAATGTGCCGGCGAATATGATAATATTGCAGGCAACTAGCTTTCGATTCCACAGGCACCATCCTTCCATTCAGGGTAATAAGATTTCCATGCTGTTTATAATGGGGCCCCCAACTATAGCCCTCGACTTCAAGTAGTCCCAGAGATCCATTGCAAAAGATGTTGTCCAAAGCGAAATTCGCTGCAGAAGGTATGAGCTTCCAATGTTAAGGTGGCTTCGTCTTTCAGCGTGGGTGATCTAACAAAGGAAATTCTAAGTCGTAACCCAGGTAAAGTTTGGAGCCTTGGTCTTTATTTATATAGTGGGCACATAGTATCCCCCAAAATGTATTTGGTGGATTTCTTCAGGGCTCAAAATTGAGAAATAAAGATGATCTGAATGCCGAGTGCCACTTTTTCGGGTTTTTAATGTAAATCTTGGTACTTCTTGAATATAAAAGCACATGCAAGGGTAAACTTTTACGATTTTACTCAATAAGGCTTGAGGATCACAATTACATTTGTGAGAGGGTCTCGGGGCGAAGTTGGAATATCTTTATTCTCTCGCTTCTCATGAGCTGAGGAAATTCAGTGAAGGCATGTTCTATAATGATCAGGAAGTCGTAGCATTTTTTCTCGCAAAAACAATTCTAAGATGACAAAATTTTATTCGATCTTAGCTTCAAACATTACATGAAGAGCGACTTCAGCGAATCTTTGGAGGTCATTTTGTAGAGGTTCATCTGCTCTATGGAACAATACCCTAAGCTGCTAGGAAAACAAAGACAGCTTGAATTATCCAAAAGTAGGACAACCTAATATAGGGAGATGAATATTCTGATCTCACCGACCAATGTCATAGATGTTTAAATAGACAGGATACGCGTCACGTTAATTTTCGCATGTATAGCCCAGTGGCGTACCCAGGATTTTCGCTTCGGGGAGTGAGCGACAAAAGTTTTTTCGGATGAAGGTGCGTGGCGTTAGCCACCCACTCCGAAAATTTTTTTGGGATGCTTTCTAAAATTTTTGCGGCCCCCTGACCCCAAAATTTTAGAAAAGGATTCGTGCCACGCCCCCAAAAAAATTTTTCACAAGGCTAAGTTGATTTTTTAAAATTTTTAAAAACTGTTTATTTACAAGTAAAAACTTGAATTTTTTAAATTTTTTGAAAATTATTTTAATTATTTACAATTGAAAACGAGTCGCTTGCACTTTTTTATAACACATTTAAGTAAATATCGTACACCATGAATCAAGTGCTACTATGGTCACAGCCCTATCAATGCATTTCGGTCAAAAGCGAAGGCACCATAAAACGAGAACATTTTGCCACAACTTCATTAGATCACTTCTGTTTCTCTCGTATATGGACAATTATTTTTTTCAAATACACCAAATAAACTTTTTCACAAACTGATTTTCTAAGATGAAAAGGCCTGCGAATCTCGAGCTTGTAGCAGTGACAATCTAAGAAATTCATTTCGAAATGGGCGGGCGGTCTCGACAGAGTGTTTTCGAATGTAAAGGCATGAATTATGAATACACTTTTAGTAAGCTTTCATATAGACGATCGAGATATTTGAAGTGCCAGGATAGCAAAAAAACGCTCTCCTTATATTATAAATCTTTCGTTATATCATATGCAGGGTCGATTTTCGTTTGCTGTGCTGATTGAACGAAGGATTTGTAATAGAAAGAAAGGGTTTTTTCCAAACTTTTCATCATTTAAAACTCCTTGATTCTCTACTAGCCGAACTGCAAAAATTAACTACGCTATACTATCACGTATTCTTCCCTTCTCCTTAATTCCAAGACGTTGTCCAGATAAAACTTTGATAGAATATTTTTGCACCGAATATCTAGTGGACCATCAAATCTTATTTTCTGCCCCCTCTTGTGTTGAGATCGTAGTCGAGCTGCAATGATGTTTCAGAAGCTTGAAACGCTAAAACTCACTTAATTTTTGAATCGTAACGGAACTCCAAGTGAGAAAGGTGCAACTTGCTTGCTACACCTTGTTTCTTGCAACTATTGTGATTACTGATTGTAGAAAGGGCGGCTACTCAATATCATTAGTGAATGACATGCATTCGTGTTGACTCGCTCTGCCAGTGTTAGAAAGAGCTGCTGCTAATTGTGGTACAGTCGAGTTGATTTTCTGGTCAATATAGTGTGCTTGCATTGAAGACGAAATACAGTAAAATTTGCGCGTGAACAAGTAGCCACGCCAGTAATGCCAAAATTTTGCGCGCGCAAATGGCCGGCGTCACAGGCGTAGCTATTTCTTTACGCGCAAACTTTACCGCATTTCACCTTCAATGCAAGCACACTATATTTAGCGGAAAATGTACTCAACTGTACCTTTCCGTTATCAGACCCATTTTTTTTCAAAAAAAGGATGTCGCTTCTTTCCTTGCACCAAATTTAGTGAAAACTTCACTGATGAGACCTCATGCCATTTATCAAAAAAATTAACATGCCTCTACATGTTTAACAGATTTTAACAAGAGTTTGTTCGGCTTACCTATCAATGCAAGTTCAATCTGTTTTTTATTTCATAATGACCTCATTTTTAGCCGACAGTTTTATGAATGAGCTTTGATATTATGGAAATGACATCCTGTGTTTAATGAACACATTAGCTTTTCCAAAACGGAAAATTGAGCTGCTGTTCCATCATCTAAATGAAATTCGCAATTCGCACCAGGTACTTCAAGCTTGTTTACATTCTTTCCCGGCTAAATTTGTATGGCGGAAACACATGAAGAGCAGGATTTCTTTAGATCATTACAAGATGTTCTAAAAAACGTTTAAAATGTTTTGTTTCTATAAAAGATCCTGAACAGCTTTCGACTCATTTCAGAGGCTCTCGTAACTCAATTGAAATGATTTTCAAAAGACATGTCAAACTGGCCACAATCGTGTAAATTTTTATTTTGACAAGTGGCAAGAAGACATCTCAAGATCTATGAAAAAAATCTCTAGACTGAAATACTAGACTACACTAGGTTGCTTCATGAGAACATTTTGAAAAATGGTTCCGGATAACGGAAAAGTACCCTAATTCTTTCTAGGATTTTGATAGGTAGATGTAATGATTCGACTATAGGCGAGGCGTTGTTGCGGAACATCCTTTATACCCTAGAAACTTCTCCATTAAAGCTACCCCAAAGTTCATTGCTTAACGATTGCGCCGCGAATAGAGAGAGTGTTGTTCCTAGTCAGGAAGAAGCAATTTGTATTCATCTGGGATTGTTTTCTGTGTGGTCCACGTACCGGTTTATACCACATCACTTAGATTATCAGCATGTCCGAAATGCATTAATGAAAGATAAATGTATTTAGCAGATGATGAGCTACATTGGTTTCTTTCCTCTGTCTTTGGCTCATCTTAGGAATTTGAAAACTCTTCGGGAATGAACCTTTTTTGTAACTTCTTTCAGCAACATACGAATGAGTTCTAGGTATTCTGGTTCATTGTGAAGAGATAAGTTCGAAATGCTCTTGATGAAATTATTCATAGTCCTGCTTGCGGCTTATCTGTGCAGTGCTTCTGCATCATTTATAAATACGGTGAGCACATTTGAACTCCGTCCATACGAATTTTCCAAAATATAATTATTTTTCAGTGTACAAGACTGTGTAAAAGCGAAGTTGAGAAATATAACAAAGAGCACCCACAGTCGCCAAGGAATCCCAATTGCGCACAGTGGTGCAAAGATATTGTGGAGGGCAAGCAGTACAAATATGTCGACCCTTCAATTTTGCAGATTTTGCAATGAAAATATACACACTAGTAATGAGTTTTGATCGAGCATCTTTAGGCTAATAATGATGCTGTTTTACCTTAGAGGATTAATTTACTTGTGCCATAAGCTGCTTCGATCATCTATTTGCATTTGCAAAAATTGTTCCTTCACGAAATAAGAAAATGTATTTGCAAATACTTCGATCGTATGGTTCTTAATTGTTGGTGGAGATAATGGATCGCTCTACAAGCACTATTTTGAACAATCACGGATGGTGCATTTCAAAGGACAGAATGACATGAGAGCCTGTACCGCCATTCTTTATATAGGCCGTCCGCGCTGCGCACGGAGAGCAACGCTGTTGCGTCCATTGAAGATAATTCATGACTGGAAGAAGCGCAGAGAAAGCAGGCGGCGAGATGCAGGGGAAAAGAGGAGTGACGCGCAATACATACCTTGCCCGTCTCCGCGCCCTGCACTGACGGCCTTTACAATATTTGAGAAATTTCAAGACAAAAGATATTTACGCCTTCTTCTATTTAAATTTCAAGTATGATGCTGCAGTCATGCATGTGTTTCTATACATTGTGACAGTTGGCTAAATACCGTTTCGTTTCCTCTAGAATGACGAGTTCTGTAACTATGCAGAACTTGCGCGCACCAAAGTATGGCCAGATGACTGTATATCAATTAATTTGGCCTGTACCGAATGAAGTCAAAGATTTTCTAGACCCTTCCAATCTGAGGTTGTAGAGCACAATTTGCACATCATCTGGTTGCACTCGCATTGTTCCTTCACGGAACAAGAAAATGTATTTGCAAAATATACCTGCGTACAGTGTCGACTAGATTTTCTGCATGTAGGGTCCCTGCAGACGCGATAACGCTTGTGCGTCAACAGTACCATTGTAATTTCGAGTGTTTTACAGTGTTTTCTTTGCTTCTTTTTTGCTTTCTAGGACTAGTCATTGCTGTTTATTCCCAGCATCTACGTGGAAGTTACGTCGCGTCGTTTCATCTGTATTTTTGTCACTTTATGCCTCTTTCTTCTTGTGAAGCATTTTTTGAACGCTAGTAGGCTACTACAATTGCCTTATTATCTATATCGCATGAACTGCGCGATCGAATGCTATCTCCTCGGGTGAAAGTCGAAGTTGCTGCAAAGCGTACTGGCGTTTGAAGAAATAATTCAAAAGAAGAGGAATGAAGCGACAAAAAATACGCATAGAACTGACATGATGTGGCATCCAGGTGGATACCTGAGAATAAGCGATGGTATAGATACTAGGAAAACGAAAAACTACTCTCTGATAACCCCCTTTCTCCTTTATCAGAGTTTACTTACCTGAAAAGCAAAGAGCAGAGAAAAGACGAGCAAACTGCTTGGAAACTGAAATGGCAATTGGTGGCGTACAAACGTTGTCCCGTCTGCAGGGGCACTACATGAAGGGCAGGGTCCAAGCAAATCTGGACCCATGGGGTTTTCGTTTGGAAACTGATGAGGGGTCCTAACTAACGCACTGCCAAAGCAGCAGCACAAATGAGTCATTTACGGCTAACAAATGAGGTCCGTTTGGTTGAAGTGGCTTTTTCACATAAAACTGATACAATGTTAAAGGCAGCGCCCCCTCAAAATGATGGGTACCGGGATTTTACAGTGTTGTGATGGTATATCCTCCAGCCAATTAGTGAATTCTGAAAAAGCGCTTTTGGAAAGCCCAAAATCCGCCCCGAAAGTCTTACGGACGCCGCCCATTTCCAAGCTCCGCCCACTTCTTACACGTAAATTGGAGCGAACGCAGACACGGAAAGCTTTGGGAAAAGCTTATTTTCGCTATCTTCAAGTGATTATATGTCAGCATGGCGAGAAGGTTTCGGAGAGGTGAAAAACCGGAGAGCAAATTTTGCCGGGACGCTACCTTTAAGGGCATCGAACTAATTTCAATCATTGATTTCAATCACGATCATTTCTGTTTTCATTATCTGCCGAGCGCCTCTGGCCGTCGAGATATGAGCAGAGAGACCTATATAGAGACCTGTATATATTAGGTTGGTGCAAAAGTTTTGTCAATTTTTTCAGTCCATCGGCAAACACTCTAAAATGAAAATAAACAAACATTTCAAAATGTTCCCAATGCAGATTTTCTCCCTCTTTCCAGACGTTAAACTCACATTGTGTTTGGTTGCGAGAGTGACATGATATTTGCTAGAAATTGCAACCACTCATTTTTACCATGTCCAAATTTCGCTAATTTTCAATATTTTTGTATGAGATATTCGGAGGAGCCCTAATAAGCAGCAGATAGGGCAAACCTTTTGCCATCAAGCAGTTCTTTGTAGCCCTACGACTTGTCTTTCAGAATTCCTACGATTTATTTTTTGAAGTGACCAAATTTTACATTCTGCCTGTTTTAACTTCGTAGAACATAAATTGTTGAAAACTTCAGTCATCGTTCGATGTAACTTCTCCTCCTCCTTCTAACTCTTGTCTTTTTTTGCCGAGACAGGCGAAACTTGTGGGGATTGCAGTATTTCTCATTTCAGGAGTGCGCACTGACGTATGTTTCAAAATCTTCATAATTCGAAGCGAAAATCGCTAATTTACTTTGTAATGGTAGTGGTAGTAATAACAGAGTGTTGAAACCTCAGTACTCCGTAAGTTTTGCAGTGTTTGGTGCTAAAACAAGTTATGCCGTTTTTCCAAAACACAAGACTGAAAATTTTCAGCAAAAATCTAAAAAAGCAGACGGAAAAAAGAAAAAAATTGCATAAGATAACAAAAGATTTTGCCTGTCTGCTGGTTATTAGGGCTCCTCCGGAAGTCTCATACGAAAATTTTGAAAATTAGCGAAACTGGACATGGTAAAAACGAATGGTTGTAATTTCCAGCAAATATGTCGTCAATCTCGTAACGAAACACAGTGGGAGTTTGGCAGCTGGAAAGAGGAAGAAATTCTCCATCGGATACACTGAATTTTTTGTTTGCTTTCATTATAACGTGTTTGCCGATGGACTGAAAAAACTGACAAAACTCTTGCAGCGATCTAATAGATAGATTTTCAAGTTGAAAAAGAATGCATAATTAGAACAAAATCCGTCAAAATTGCTAAAGTGATCCAGTGTTGATTACCAGGACACCCCATTTGAACAATACCGTCCAAAACTCTCCTACTTGACACTGCTCTATTTGAGCGCTGAAAAGGCGGTGAAATTTGATCACCTAAATTATGAGTTCATTCCTCGAACCAAGAAAATATTCATAAGTAATGCAGAGACGCTCGGCAGATAATGAAATTAGTTTTGTAATCACCGTTTGATGCTTTTCAAAGTAGTATAGGACTCATTTGGAAAAGCTACTTCGACTATTCTGACTTCCCTTGTAAGTATCTAAGTAAGATTGTGAGCGGTATTGTACTGTTGATGGTTTTCTGAAATCCGAAAATTTTTTCCTAAGGTAATTCCATCCCTCAAAGTATACGCAATTTATCTACATAAAATACAGAATTCTATCAAGTACGTTGTTTCGACACCTTTCCTCAAGCTGACGCAACGTTGGATTTTTGCCAAAATGTAAAAATAATGCTATATAGTGCGTCAGCTATGGTAGGGTGCAAGAAACATGTCAGCGCTGCATTCAACACTTCATGGACCTTCACAACTAGGTTAAGTAAAAATAAAGATCAATTTAGTTTCGCTTCATGCTCCGTACGAAAAGTTAATAGCACTTTTCCTGATGCGTGTAAATGATTCACAATCAAAGCTCGATCATTTCGTTTATGGGTTAGTGCGCGAGGAATGCGGTTGAGGTTATCAGTAAGTGAACAAAGAACAGACTGATTTCTAAAACCCACAAGTGTATCACAACACCAGCGAAAGCGATAACGCTGTTCAGGAAGAGTTAGTGTCAAAGATTCGCACAAATCAACGTTCTGGAAAGGAATGAGTTCATGATGCTATAACATCAAGGATAATCACTGATTTGCTAGCACAGATCAGTTATGCATGCAGACACTTTCTTGCTCGCTTTCAGGGGATAAAAAGAGCCAACTACGATTGCCCCCATACTATTACAAACAGTCCAAAAAATTTTTGTTCGAGCAAATCTTTGACTGGAGTCATATTCAACAATTTATAATTTCTTAGAAAAGTCACGTTAAAAAGTTTTTGAAATTACAAATGTTGTTTCAAATTATCGTCCCATCAGTGTCACAGCGCCTTGTGGTAAAATCCTCGAAAAATTCGTAAAGGAAAAACTGTATGATTGGTTAGATAAGCGCAAAATTATACCTACTGTTCAACATGGCTTTCTTCCAGAGGGGTCAACTACTAGTCTACTTTCTGATTCGATTTTTGATTGGACCACCGCACTGAATCAAGGAAAATCAGTGGATGTCGTATTTTTCGACCTTTCCAAGGCCTTCGATAGAGTCAATCATTCAAAATTACTTTCCAAACTTTCTAATTACGGAATGACCAACAGCTACTGAAATGGCTCTCATCTTACCTACAAAACAGAGGTATGACAGTGCGCGTTGGAGCCAGCTTTTCTGAGCGCTTTCACTGCAGTAGTGGTGTGCCACAGGGAGGCACACTCTCTCCCTCCTTTTTCTCGCTTATACGGCAGAACTGGCAACAGTTTTGAAGACCCATCCGGATATCAAAGTGCAGATTTTTGCAGATGACATAAAAATCTATTTTTGTTACGAAGAGGACAAGCAAAATGTAGCCTACGAAGCAATCTCTAATTCTATACAGAAAATGATCATGTAATCCAAGGAGTGGGACTTACCTGTAAACGCACTCAAATCGAAAGTTTTGCATCTTGACAAATTCCACCCGCCCCCGCCACACACATACCTCTGTGACGGTGTTGAACTTGAGCTGTGCAGTGTTACCAAAGATTTAGGTGTTTTCGTTGATGACCAGCTAAAGTTTACCACACACTACGACTCAGTTACTAGGGAAGCTTTGTCAACTCTTTTTGTTATATTGAGAAGCATTCATAGTAATGATCCCGTCCTCCTAGTTCGAGT